GCCGCCCGTGCCCGCGCTGCTGGGCGGCGAGGCGCGCACGGTGGGGTGCTGCCACATCGGGTCGGACGCGTCCGACTGGGGGAGGCCCTGCCCTGGCCCCGCGGTGGAGGGCGAGGGCGTGCATGGCGGCGTGACGGTGGGCAGAGCGCAGGGGTCCGAGGGCGAGGCCGAGGCTGGCGCCCTGGACGGTGGGGCCCGCCTCCTCGCGGGGGCCCGCTGGGTGGACGCCCTCGAGCGTGCACGGCTCCCGCGCTGTGCGGCTGTGGGCCAGTGCCGTGGCAGGCCCTTGGTGGCCCTGGAAACGACAGAAGTTTTTTACCGGTTCCGTGTTGCCGTTTTTGTTGCCGGTTCCGACTCCGTTTTTTTTGCCGGTTCCGACGCCGTTTTTTGACAGGTTCCAGCCCCAGTTCCAATCCTGGAGCCGTTTTTGTTACCGTTTCTGGTTGCCGTTTTTTGGCCGTTTCCATTTTCAAGGGATTTTTTGTTATGAAACGGTTAAAAAGCGGCCCTGCCGTTTCGGGGGCCTACAAAGGGCAAGCCTGATGGGGGCGTAGGGATTCAGACCCTCGGCGTCGCAACCCCCATCTCTCATGATGGACGCGTTCGACCGGGGCGTTACCGTTACGACAGCTTCCATATGACCTGGGAGGTGCATTCCCCAGGGGGGTGCGGAGCGGCTGAGGCCGCCGCCGTCTTCCCCGAGGTCGAGCCGCTCCCGGTGCTGAAGGCGATCGGCGGCGGGAAGTGCGACATGGCGGTGCAGGTGCACGACGTCGACGGCCAGGCCGTGGCGACGGCCCCGATCGACGAGGAGTGCGACCTGGCGCAGCAAGTGCTCGACGACGACGACGTCGACGTCGACGGCGGGGCCGTGGTGCAGGCCCAGATCGACGAGGAGCGCGACCTGGCGGCGCAGGCGCTCGACGTCGATGGCGTGGCCGTGGCGCGGGCCTCGATCGACAAGAAGTGCGACCTGGCAGGGCAGGTGCTGGACGTCGACGGCGCGGCCGCGGCGAAGGCCCAGGTCGATGGGGAGGGCGGCTTGGAGGACCAGGTGCTCGACGTCGCGGCGGCCCAGATTGGCGAGGAGGGCGACATGATGGTGCAGGTGTTCGACGTCGTGACGGTCCAGATCGACGAAGTGCGCGACCTGGCGGAGCAGGTGCTCGACGTCGTGACGGCCCAGGTCGATGGGGAGGGCGACATGGCGGAGCAGGTGCTCGACGTCGCGACGGCCAAGATCGACGATGAGTGCGACATGGCGGAGCAGGTGCTCGACGTCGACGGCAAGGCAGTGGTGACGGCCCAGATCGACGGGGAGAGTGACTTGGCGGAGCAGGTGCTCGACGAGGAGGGCGACCTGGCGGAGCAGGCGGCAGTGCTGATGCTCAACGTCAGCGGCGAGGCCGTGGCGAAGGCCCATTTCGACGAGAAGAGCGACCTGGCGGTGCGGGCTCACGACGCCGACGGCCAGGCCATGGGCAAGGCGCGGGGATGGGGGGGGCGCGCGGCTGGCAGAGCGGCGCGGGCCTCGGCGCGGCCCGAGGGCAGCGCGGCGGCGGAGGTCGGCGAGGGCGGCCGTGCGAGCGCGGCACGCGTGGAGCGCGCCGAAGCTCAGAAGGCGGCCGCGGTCGAGGGCGTGGCGAACGGCCTCGCGCAGCGCTGGTGCGACATGGCCGCCGAAGCACAGCGGCGGCCAGGCCCGCGGACGCGCCGGCAGCGTCGGGCGGCGGCTGCGTGGGCCGCGCAGGTGTGCGTCGTGAAGCTCGAAGCGCTGGCGATATTGCGGCGGGCATGGGTGGCCTTCCACACCGACCGCCCCCGCCAATGCCCGGGTGTGAAGGACCCCATGGCTGCGGACATCCAGACGGAGCTGGAGAGGATCGACAGCCAGATGGCCGCGTGCGAGGCCGAGGCCGACACGGTGAGCAGGGGCAGTCGGGGCTGACGGTGGTCGACGACACTCGAGCGCTACGTGCGGCACGACTTGCGGCCGATCTGATTGTGAGCAGTTAGATCGACGCACAAACAAAAAAACTCTTTTGGGGCCTCTTGGAACTCTCTATTTGGGCCGTCTTGGGGCCCTCTCGAGCCGCCCTGAAGCCCTCTCGGGCCGCCTTGGGGCCCTCTTGGACCGTTTTGGGCCCTTCTGGGGCCAGCCAGGGACCCTCTTGGATGTTTTCGGCCCCTTTTGAGCGCCTCTGGGGCCGTCTTGGGACGATTCCTGGCACCTCGGAAAATTAAGGTTTTTGGCATCCTCAGGCCCTCTCACAGGTCCCCTGGAGGGCCTCTGGAACCGTCTCGAACCTCTCTAGAACCGTCCGGCGGCCATCCGAATCTCTCTTGGGGCCGTCTTTGGGTCGTTTTGGGGCTCTCTTGGGCCGTCTTGGGGCCCTTGAGCCAGTTCATTCTGATGATGCCGAAGAAAAACCCAAAGCATTATTTGTGTAGGGCTGTTGGTCTCTGGTGGGGCTCAAGGGCTATAAGGCTATAGGGCTATAAGGGTAGGAGGAGTCGGCTTGCGGGGGGGGTCGGGCGCGCGGGAGGCGGGCGGAGGCGTCGCCGGCGCCCCGCGCCCCCGGGGGGCTCCATGTTGGATTTCCCAGGCTGCGCCAAGCGCGCGCACGCGTTACTTGCCCGCGCGCCCACATTCGCGCAAGCGCATCCTAAGAAACTATGATTTGGATCGGAACCGGGCGACAGAGGGCATGGTGCGCCTGTCGAGGCTGCTTCTGGGAGCGACTGCTGCTGGCTCGACACGCGCGATATGCACGTGACGACTGTTGGAGGACGGGCGCTGCGCCGTCCAATCCAACGCGGCAATGGCGCGGTCCGGGGCGCGCGGCCGTCGCGGCGCACGGCGGTCGACGTGGCCGCACGGGGCGCGCGATCGGCCGCGCGGTATTTGCGGGCCATTCGGCCGACGCTGCCGGGTCGCCCTCAAACAGCCCGCCAGGAATGCGCAAATGCGCAATGCGCCAGCGCGCCGCCAGGATATCGCCCTGAAAAGAACCTGTTCACTCTGAACGCCGACTGCGCGCCTCGCTGAACCAGCGAAGTCGCGCGGCGCGCCCGCGCCGCGCACCCGCCGCAGTGAACTCGCGGGAAAAAGGCCTCTCTGCATGAGTTCTGGCACCGATTCTGGCCTACTTCGCCGTTCTGGCCGATTCTGGTTCCATCGCCGATTCCACCTTTGATTCCGTATTGATTCCGTACTGATTCTTTTGATTCCGCTAGAATCAGGGGTCGCAGTTGTGCCGATTCTGTTTTGATTCTGTACTGATTCCGTACTGATTCCTTTGATTCCCCTGTGCCCCGGAGACCATCAGGCCGCGGCCCGAGCTCCCGCCTCGGCGGCGTGGTTTTTCCAGGAGCGCGGAAGAGTTTTGAGGGGGAGGGGGGCGGGGGGGGGGGGGCGGGGCGACTTTTGGGGCGCATCGGGCGGCCGAGCCACAGATTTCCGGGTCCAGTGCGCGCGCCCAACATGGCAGGCGCGGGCGCGCGCGCGAATTCTCGACCGTCGGCGCATCTGTAAGTTCATGCACCGCACCCCGCGCGGGAATGGAAACTTGCGTTGCGGTTTCAAATTGAACGCGCGGCCGTCGCAACTGCATCGCATTGCTCAGCGCGCAAAGCGCGCGAGCAGCATGGGGGGCTTTGCGTTCTCGCATTAGAAGTGCGCGGGACCGAACCGAACGGTCGGCGGCGCCCGCTCCTGCGCGCGCGCGAGGCCATCGCGTCAGCGCGGGAGGCTACAAGGGCCTGGGCCGTCGCCCTGGGGCGCGGGCGCAGCGCGAGGCCTGCGCGGGTCTCTCGCGCCAAACATGCGCAACAAGGTCGGCCCGCCCGCCGGCTGGCGCTCGCGGGCGACGACGCCAGCGCCGACTGCGAGGCCGACTGGGCCAAGAGGATTCCTGAGAGCCCCAGGAAGGGGCAGCGGGCCGCGATGGAATCGGCGCGGTCGTTGGCGCCCCCCCCGCGCCCGCCCCCCCCTGCAAGCCGACTCCTCCTATATAAGGGTATGTGGGTATAGGGCTATGGTGTCATAGGGCTACAGGGCTATGAGGCTATGGGGCTATAGGGTTTTAGGACTATAGAGCTATCCAGCAAGGGCTATAGACTGTAAGGGCGATTGTGCACCATGGCACCCTGGCGCCCGAACACCTCCAGGCACCCTCGGGCAACTCCAGGCACCCCCGGGCACCGGGGCACCTGGGCACCCTGGCCGGCCAACGAGATCGGCGGCGAATCTTACCTAACCAAATGAATCCGCTACTGGGAGCTTGGTCCGAAGAAGAATGACATCAGCAAATTCAGATGAGCACTCTTCAAGTTGAGTTTTATGTACACGAGTGTGTTTGTAGTATCACAAGTCAACTTGTACCCGTTCCCCTCCTTCAGCCAACATAGTCGAATGGCAAATCAAATACATTACATCAGAGCATTGATCTATAGAGTAGTAAGTTTGTTGTTGCTGTTGCGCCCGGTCGAACAAGTCGGCCCTGTGCAGAGCTCGGGAGAAAGAACAAAAATGCGCCGTCAGAGCTGCACGTCGTCAAACCAACGACGCCGCGGCCGGCCTCTGGCATGATGCGGCCGGCTGTTGTTCAGCGCCGCACATCCAGTAGGGGGCCATTCGTGCGCTTGTTTAGGCAGCGACGGAGCAAGGTGGGACATCGGATGACTCAGTAAATGCTTCTTGCGCTTTGATACAACCGAAGACCAATCTGCAATGTTGCGCAGGCGCCTGGCAGATTCGAGCCTCTGCTTCATTCTGCAGCCAGCATCTCCCCGCGAATCGCTATCGTCGAACACCCGGCCGACGATTCGCCGGAGCATTTTCCCCTGCGTAATGTCTAGGTGGTCCAGCTGCTTCTGATCCAACGCACAAGTTTCCAACCCGTATACCAACGTAGGTGTAACAGTCGCGTTGAAGAGCTTCAGACGCAGCTTGACGTCGACGTGCCTATTCGTCAGCGAAACTTGCAGAGAACGGAATTTCAACCATGCACAGCAAACGCGATGGTCGCTAGCAGCCTGTCCGCGTTGTCGGAGGTTGCCCGGCCCTCCCGAGGTATTTGTGGGTTCTGTTAGCAGCCACAAGCTCCACGAACCCATCGGCAGTTTCGATCAGAACAGTGTCATTATCCGTGACCGTCGTCGACAACATCTTCGTTTTTTTTCACGTTGAGTTCCAGACCATAATTGTGAAGCGTCTGCGTGAGGATATCTAGCATGTCCACAGCCCCTTCCATACTGCTGGCGAATCGTAACAGATCGTCTGCAAAACGAATGTTCGACAGACGCCCCTTGCTTCCGCCCGAACAGACAGCCGGGCCATGGCCGTTCAGCTTCGCCTTCCACTCACGGATAGCAGCTTCCAGGACACTGTTGAACAGGAGCGGAGATAGCACGTCGCCCTGTCTGACGCCCCGGGCGGTAGGAAACCGGGAAGCATTACCCAAGACACCTGTTTGAGATTTGCACAGCGGTCGCAATGTTTGGCAATATCCAGAGGGGAGCCCCTGCGCTTGGAGAGCGCGGAACAGTGCCGGCTGTTCAGCCCTGTCAAATGCTTTGCGCAGATCTACGCTGACCAGCCACAGGTCTTCGTTGAACTCGAGGCTCTTGCTCGCGAGGCTTTCGGCAACAATCAGAGTGTCAGCAGTCGACCGGTCTCGTTGAAAACCAAACTGCTCTTCAGACTGTTGCGAATCTAGAACGCCGCGTATCCTGTGGAAGACCACTCGAGCAAGGATCTTGTAAGAGACGCTGAGAATCGCGATCGGCCTCCAATTGTGCGGGTCTGCGGCGCCCCCGCCCTCGTGCAAAAGTTTGAAGAAGGTCTCTCGCCAGTCAGCCGGAACGCAGCCGCTCTGCAAAATCGCATTGAACATGTCAGACAAGTAGTGCAACATATCGTCTCCGCCAAAGAAGGACATCTCCGACAACGCGCCCTTCGTGTCAGCAGCTTTGCGTCGTCTCATCGCTTTGACTGTCTTCACCACTTCTTCGACAGTAACGGCTGGCACCTGGCCCTCGCCATGCTCACCCGCGTCGGGCGGCGCGCTGGACGTGTATATCTCCGACAACAGGTCGGCACATTTGCGAAAATCCGGTCCCTGTTGCGAAGATCTTGCGATAGGGAATCTGCGCAGCGCGTCCAGGCGACGAAGATCACTGAAGCTAGCGAGCACCTCAGTTGTTCTGGCTGTCTGTCGTGCACGAGACTCTTTCTGGCTCAACCTCCAGATCTCCTTTGAGATATCTCGTCTCTCGGACGGGTTGGTCATGCGTCTCCTCCTTCTTCGCAGACGGCCCAAATGGCTGCCCCCGCTGCTCTGCTGGGCGGGCAACCGGGGCCGCTGCGACTCTCCAGCTGCAAGAAGAGCGACGCGCTCCACGTCGCCCAGAGATGCCGGGGGGAACTCCTGAGCAGCGATCTTCTGGGGCACCTCGGCGGCATACATCTCCCAATCAACGTCTTTACGCGTCTGCCGGCGCTTCCGTCGACTCCTCTGCCCAGCCAACGCCGGAGCTTGAAGGCGCGCCTGCGCCGCCCTGTGATCTGAACCGAGGTCGAGCATGTTCGTCGGCTTTGCACTGTGGAAAGATGCGCAACTGCTGACCATGACGTAATCCAGACGGCGGAGTCGTCCGAGGCAGCTGCGGAAATTCCACTGACACTCTAGAAGCTCATCCTCGACTACGTTGCAAAACACAAGATCCAGCTCGGCAGCGAAAGCTGATAATATTGCACTTCTCCTGCCTTTTCCAACCTCGGTGTTGAAATCTCCGCCCAACACACCGGTAGTTTTGGCTCTGGGCTTCGAGAACAGCTAAACGAAGATCGCTCAAACATTCTATGACATCGTCGTGCGGGTAACAGGCGTGCGGGACGTAGACGGATATCCATCTGTAGGTGTACCTCCCAATACGTATGTCGCAATGTAGAACTCTGCCCGAAACGGCCTTGTAGTCGAGAGCTTTGTCGACCCAGCGGGCGTGGATGAGCAAAGCTACTCCTGCAAATTTATGTCCACATGAGCTGCTTAACAGTCTGTGTCCCCCTTGCAACACGACATCCCCATCTGCGGCCCTAGCTTCGCTAACGCAGATGCAGTCCCAAACGGATTCTCCGTACTCTGCCAAAACCTCTGCAAGTTTGCTATCGCCGGTTAAGCAGAACTCTTGCAGAACATCCAGAACGATTGCTCCTGCGCGCAGGCATTGTCGTTCGACCGGGCTGCCTCCTAATGCTGCCACTTCCCTTCGCCAACGCCTCTGGTTGGAGGGGCCCATTTTGCCAGCTTCGCATCGGACTCAAGGCGCAGTTTGTCCAAAACCTCGCACGAAAATTCTTTCTTCCATTCATCGGTGGTGAACGTAACGACGAGCTTGGCACCATCAACTTTTTAAGACAAGACTGAATCGAAACCAACCTTCACACACATTGAGTCCAAATCTGCCCACACCGACTTGCGGTCGTATCCCCACTCAGTCATCATGCGCTTGGCGCTGAAAAGAAACGACTGGTTCGCACGTGCATCCAAAGGAAGATCCGGTTTGGCCCAAGCATTGTGGGAGCCGTGCTGGATGCTTGCCTCCTTGAGGGTCTTTACTGCGATGTCCCGGTCGACTTTAGAAGTAAACTTCAAGAAGAGGATGCCGTTGAACTCGCCCTTGACGTAGTGGTCAACAGGATAAGGTGCCCCCTTGCTCCAAAGAGCGTCACCGACCAATTTAAAGGCGTCGTCGGTGTTTCCAGTCTTTCAGGCCGCCGACGACGGCAAAAAGAGAACGTGAATTGTCCACTGATGGGGTCGCTGTCGGCATGGACGCTGCAAGTTTGAAGTTCGCGAGCTCGTCCTCCAATGACTTGGTGTGTTCCCAGACTTCTTCCTCCGTCTGGGACCCTGCGCCTGAGCCCCTCGAATCGGTGGACCTTGCATGTTCGATGCTCGTGATGCGGATTTCGATGTCCTCAACACGAGTCTCTGTGGATGCCATTCTCGACTCAAGCGAACCTCCCAAATCCGACATTGCCCGCTCCAAACCCAAAATCGAATTTGAAAGGGCTGGATCTGTTGTTTCATGATTTCCGCAATCTGAGACAAGGTAGGCTGAGATGCTCCTGAGGAACGTTCCTCTGTCAATGCCTTGGGCGGGGTACTTGGAGCTGCCGGTGTAGATATCTGCACCTCCACCGGACGTGGCGGAGAGAGATCCAGGCCGTCCATTTCGTGAAGTGGACTGAAAAGGCGTTGCTGGACTTCACGTTCGCCTAGCACTCCACGCACTGGGGTGCCTGGCTGCCGCGTGCTCGCCGGCATGGCAGGCGTCGATCCGCAATGGGCAGAGAAGAGAGAAACAGATGATAGGGCAAACGGTAGGATGTGAGTGAAAAGTGGGCCTGCTTCAGCCTTGAGCCAAAATGGCTTGAGCCAGGTGATCAGATGCGGCTCTTATCACCACGGTGAACTTATGGAACTTATGGAACTTCTGTTTCACTCAAGTTCAGTTGAGTGATGCGTTGTTTTTGATCTTGGCCTGGGGAAGCGACCAACATATGCGGAACATTCGGCTTCGATAAGTGAAAACATAAGTTCCATAAGTTCATCTTGGGTCTCGGGGGGGGGGCTCGTCATCGGTCGTCGCCGTCATCGTCGTCGTGGCTCGAGCAGCTCGAGCCGTCGAGCGGGTGCGCGCGGACTCCGCGCGAGCGCGCGTTTGGCCAGCATCGCCACCATCGCGCGTTTGGCCGCGTTTGGCCAGCATCGCGATAGCACCGAAGAAGGAGGCAGCCCCGAAGAAAGCCGACCCGAAGAAGAATGCAGCCCAGAAGAAGGCAGCAGCCGCCCCGAAGAAGAAGGCAGCCCCGAAGAAGGCACCAACCCCGAAGAAGGCAGCAGAGACCAGCACCCTGACTGGGAACCCGCAGGACGGCCTGAAGCCGATGGTAGAAGTGAAAAAAATGGGCTACGAAGCACACCGACGCGGAGGGCTGGAACGCCAAGCTCATTGGCTTCACGTGGCAGGCGTCGTTGCCAGGCGACACGGGGTACGTCGAGGAGAAGTGGTGTTGGACGCCGCCGCACACGGGGCAGAGCGGCAGCAACAAGGATAAGGACAAAGACAAGAACCAGGACAAGGGCCAGAACCCCAACAAGCGCAAGACCCGCTGATGGACCGCTCGCAGGGCCGCGAGGGGCCGCACCAGCGTAACACGCTCATCTCGCCATCGCTCGGACGCGTGCATTTTTCGTCGTCGTCGTCGCCGTCGCCGTCGTCGAGGGAGGGGGAGGAGAGAAGCACGCACGCAAACGAAACATGCACGAGAAACGCACGTCCGAGCGATGGCGAGACACTCGCGCGCGGCACGATCGCCGTCGACGACGACGTCACACAGCGGCACGTCCGCTTCTGTCGAAAAAAATCCCCATGTCCTAAGATGGGGTTCTTTGTTCACAGCGGCACGTCCGCTTTCCCCCTACCCATTTTTCCCCATATCCTAAGATGGTGCTCTTGTTATCGAAGACGCCTACGGCGAATCACCGCCGCCCCCTGCCTTTGTGGAAGCGCCTATGTGGCTGAACGTTGAGGCCAGACCTGCCAAGCTATCGGACCATGTGTTCCCCGAATCGGTTTGGAAAGCCTTCGGGGAACACGTGGGCATCTTGAAGGTCATCTTGGCCGCCTGGAGGCCATTTTGACCCTTTCGGGCCTTCTTAGAGGACGTCTTGAAGGGCTTGTGTGCCGTCTTGGAGGCCATCTTGAGCGTCTTGGAGGCCTCTTGGGCCGTTCTGGGCGACATCTTGGAGGTCTCTTGGGCAATCCTTGGGCGACCTTTGGAAGCTGGCCGTATCGGGCCGTCGGAAGGCCGAAACGAAGCAAATGTCAGAATCCTTTAAAAACCTAAGGAAAATCACTCTTTTTGGCCTTTTCTGGCCTTCCTGGAGGCCCTCTTGGAAGCCTCTTGGGCCCTTGGGCCAGCTGCGAGCCACCTTCGGCCATCTTGGTGTGCTCCTGGCCCGTCTGACAACGTCGGAAGCAGTTTCGGGGGCCTTTCTGGGCTGACTTGGGGCCCTCTTGGGGTGCTCCAGGGCCGTCTTAGAGGCTATCTTGGGCGTCTTCGAGGCCTCTTTGGCCGTCTTGGCGCCCTCTTGGGGCCGTCTTGGGGGCCTCTTGGGCCGTCATGGGGCCATCTGGAGGCCTCTTGGGCGATCTTGGGGCGACCTCGGGGGCCTCTGGGGCCGTCACGGGCCGTCGGAAAACCGAAAAGGCGCAAATGCCAAAATCCGTCAAAAACGTAAGGAAAATCAAGGACTTTGGCCTCGTCGGGCCTTCCTGAGGACCTCTTGGAGGCCTCTTGGGCCGTCTTGGAGGCCTCTTGCGGGCCTTTTGGGCCGTCTTGGACCAGATTGAGGCCATCTTGGGCCGTCTTGGATGCATCTTGGGGCCATCTTAGCCGTCTTGGAGGCCATCTTGGCTGTCTTGGAGGCATCTTGCAGGCCATCTTGGGCCATCTTCGCGATTGTTTGAGGATGTCCCGAGCGAAACGGCCGTTTGGGGCATTGACCGACGCAGTTTCCGGGTGACCAGCGGGACGTGCCGGAGCCCCAGGGGGAGTCCTTTAGGAAAAAGAACCAAAACCGAAACCGAGAGGGTTCAGCACGCCAGGCACCCCTGCGATGAATCGACAGGGGGCGGCGGATACCCCGAGAAAAGGCGGCCTGCCATACAGAACGGGTCCCAGGGAAGTGGTCCCGGACCTCTCGCCACGATCTCTGCACGACGCGACGGGTCCGGCCCCTGGCTGCGTCGACCGACCTCCTCGGGCCCAGATGGGGGGGGTGAAGAAGAAGCCCTTTGAAGGAGCCCTTTGGGGCACCTCTTGGAGCCTTGGAGCCCTTTGGCGCCCAAAAGGGGCCCTGAAAGGTCCCCTGTGGACCTTTTTGTTCACTCCCCAATTGGGTCACCCACCATTGCCACCCGCCCGAAACCTCCCTTGAGCAGGGACCGACCGTCCCGGCATTCCCGTAGTCCTACTACGAAATGTTTTTAGAACCGAGAATTTGTTTTCTAAGGGCGAACACAAGGCTCTCAATTAGAACATACACCCGATGTTTCAAACAAGACATATCTCGGCCAGACGTGCACTAAGAACATCTCGTGCAGACCACAAGGGGTTCTTAGAACATTCTTTGGTGGGCCCACAGGCAAGCCGGGACGCTTCGCCACTGCTCGACTCCCCCCCGCGCCGCCTCCCGGTCCGTCTCCGCGCTGGCCGCGGCGTGGCCCGGCCCTTCGCCCTCCCGCCGCCACAGCAGCACGACGCGCCCGGGCGCCGCCCCGCCCGCGGCCGCGACCTGCGCGCCGGCTTCCGGGGCGACAACGACGGTGACGACGATGTCGTCGACGACGACGAAGACGACGAAGACGACGAAAACGGGATCGACGACGACGGGAACGACGACAGAAACGACGACGACGACGATGGCGGCGGCGGCGGAAGCCGCACTAGGGTTGCGAGGGCTCAGACGAGGCCTCCAACAACGGGGGTCATGGCGGCCCCGACTTTTGCGGGACTCCCGCCTGGAGATGAAGGTGGGGGCCAAACTCGGGGATGCACGATCGAGGGGGTCCATCCTCGGTAGGAAAGGTCGCGTCTGTGGACGCTGGGGAGGGGGGATTCGCACCGTGGAACCCCCCCTGAATTGCGAAGGGGGGGTTTCGAACCAGCCGTTCGAACTCCACCCCCTTTGAATCGAAATGGAGGGGGTTCGAAACGGGCCGCCCCCCCCCGCCTCGCCACTGGCAAACGACGACGGCGAGCCCTGGCGCCGGCGCCAGCGCCGTCGGGCAGCGACGACGAAGACGACGACGATGACTATCGAGCCAATTAAGATGCTACTAAAATGGTGCCGAATTCTGGTAAGAATCTGTTTCAGCTGAGTCGTACACGAACCCGAATAGGACTCAGTTGAAGCTGGATCGAGTCCTGAGTGTGATCCCATTGGAAATGGATTCAGCCCTGAAGCGATTCCCTTAGCGCTCGATCGAGCCCTGATTGGATTCCATTCAATTGGATCGAACCGGAGTAGATTTATGATAACAGGACTTTGCTAGAGCTGGATCCAACCTTGATAGGATTGACACAGGGCTGGATCAATCCCTAGTAGGTTTCGACTGGGGCTGTGTCCAACACCGTTAAGAATACCTTGGACTTAATTAAATCTGGCCCTCACGGCATTTTTTGCGAGCTGGATAAAGCCCTAATGCAATTATTCTGGAGCTGGATTGGACCCGCGGAGGATTCCATTAGAGCTGGATCGAGCACCGAAGAGCTTGCACTAAATTTGGATCGTGTCCTGATAAGACAGCTATAAAGCTGGGCGCAGTCCTGGCATGATTCCATTCGGGCTGCGTCGAGCCCCACTAGGACTCTATTGGAGATGGATCCAGCCCTGATGGGGTTGCATGAGAGCTGACTCGCGCCTTAGTGAGGTGCAATTAGAACTGGATCCAGGCCCTGAGAGGACTGTATTGAAACTGGACCCAATCCTGATAGGGTTGCATGACGCTGCATCGAGCCTCGTAGGATTCCACGAAAGCAGGATACACTGGTCGAGACTGTTGGACTTGGATCCAACCCGAATGGGCTTGTAATTAGACTGGATCAAAACCTAATTAGATTCCATGAGAGTTCGATCGAGCCGTGCTAAGTTTCGATTAGACCTGCATCGAATTCTAATCGTATTATTCCCAAGCTGGGTCCAGCGTGAATGCCATTGCGTTACAGCTCCAGCCCGGATTGGGTACTACTAGAGCTGGATCCAGCCCAACGAAATTCCACTAGAGCTGGACCAACCCCTAAAGGAATTCGACCGTACGATGATGAAGATGATGATGGTGATGAAGACGATGACGGTGACACTAACGATAATGATGAAGACGATGGTGGTGACGACGATGATGAGGATGACGATGACGATGATGACGGTGATGTC